GCGTTTGGAGGAAAGGGTGAATCAACGACTCAAGACGGAGCCAGCTCTCAAGCTCCATGCGAGATCCAACTTGAGCAGATACTTTGCAACCCCTCCACCAGAAAGAGGTATTCATATCCTTATCCAAACTCCCAGTACCGGTGAGTAAGTTGTTTAAACAGTCTACATCGATATTACTTCTCTGCTGACCGCTTCACTGGTCAAAGGCGTCAAGCGCAAGGCATCGGCTGAGGCAAACGATGATATCCCTACCAAAAGGGCGTGTGTATTGGAAGACTCCCTTGCTAGGTCTGCGCCTTCGGACTTCTCCAAGCAAGAGAAGTACAAGAGGCTCGACCCAAACAAATTTGCCTTCAACCGACCCCCAGTACCCCAAAGCATACCTCTAGCCATCCTTCATTCCATCTTTGGACAGTTTGTAGAGGAGACGGAAAGCTATGAACCGACGATGGAAGACTATGCTCTAGTACGCGGCCTGCGAATGGCCATGAGCACTGTCAATGGGTACAGTACAGAGCCACAGTACTGTGAGGAATTTCGTACAGTTCTGCATCAACACTATCCCGACGTACAACTACGAGCTTCGGCAATCGGGAGTACCAAGTTCATAAGCGATGGGCACCTCCAAGTGGGTAAATATATGTCCTCTGTGTGCGAAGCAAAGCTCTGGGACGGGAAGGGCGATCCAGAGATTCAAGCATGCGGCTACATGATTGCATCTCTCCGCCACATGGTCAATAGATCGGAAGACTACCCTGACAAGTTTCCATGCATGATCATTTCCATTTTTGGTGAGTACTCGGCTGCGCTCCGCTACTTTGTCACTGAGATTTCCCTAGGGACGTTTATTTGCTTTTCCGGAGGCGTCTTGACGGATCGCTTACATCTCGAGACGCTCACGCCGGCCATCCCCATGCACACGAACTGTCATGAAGATAAGATTGGTTCGAGATACACTTCAAATTTGATCAGGGAGAAAAGCCACAAGCTACGGCATTTCACTCGTTCGT